GCCTTAAGGTAAATCTCGTCATGACGTACGGTTGCGTCATGGCGAGTTTTACCTTTAGCGCTCTCTTCAGAATGGGGGCCGACTCGAACGCCGCCAACATCTTAAACGGAAAATAAGGGCGCGCCGTTAAATCCGACATTTCGTATAGAATGAAGAGAAAGATTGCGCGCTCCTCTCATTATCCTAGAATGCTTCCATTTGGTGAGTCTGTCTAAAACACACCTACAGGTTAACGCAGGAAAAGAGATTCCTTCAACAGTACGGAAGTTGTTCTCCCATTCCCTGAAAAAACGAAAATGTTAACGGACGCCGTTAAATTCAACGGGCGAGACGTAAAACCATCTTTTACCAGCGCTTCGGCCGTCAGTTCCGGTTGATAATATATAATTATAATTATATGAATATGAAAATATAATTATGAATATATAATATGAATTATCAATATGAATATATAATTAAAATTATACCTCTTTTTGTAAAAATTATATTTAGTTAATTATTTTGTTACCATTTTTGCTAATAGATGACGCTATGTCTAACACAGAAAATCGAATATATATAACAAAAAGATTAATTTATAAAAATGAAATCGTTATTTTGGGGTGAGCTGTATAACACGATGTAATTACTGAGTTCTATATTAATTACTCGAGTTGAATGGCTTTGGAGTTTATATATAAAACACAAAATAAAGCCGACAAAAGAGCATAAAACAAAACGCGTGTTTGTTTTCTTAATAACAAATATATCACTGTCTACGACATAAAACGTTTAAAAGTAAATAAACTCTACTTTAAGTGAGTAGAATTTAATTGTTGCTATTTTCTTCTGCCAAACGCTAAATTTGATAAATGGAGCGGAGTACCTGCATTCGAAACATTTAGTAGTCAAGGACATCCAGCTTTTAAATTTTCAAATACTATTTCAGTTTATGGCTTCTTCTTTTACTTTAAACGAAGATTGTCGTGATTTTTGACGGAAGCAATAAGAATATTAAAAACAATTCATAGTTATCATCATCATCAATATTGTGCGTGAAAAGAAGGTATTAATATAATTAGACATTCTTCGTCCTTCTCCAGATATTTCTTGCCGTTTCGTTCGTTTCCTCGCGATCCCCTCAACCTTTAGATTATCGATCAATTAATTCTGTCTTTTTTCTCTCTTTCGAAAGATTAATTCTTAACCCTTAACTGGTTTTATGGAGGCCCCACGCGTCACATTTTTACTATTTACTAAAAATCTAAATATCGTGCGCAGCTGCCATTTTATGTAATCTCATTACGTCGCGACTCTTATCGAGTGCCAAATGTTTTTGAAAAACGAGTTTTATACAAAATTGCAAGAGTTATAACGAATAAATTTCTACAAAGATGTCCCACACAGCTGAAGATGTAATAATTGGCTCACTTCCCTTCCCATTCCTTAAACCCTTACGTACTAAAATTTAATGATATCAATCTCCCTAATACACAAACCTTCCTGTCAAATTTTAGAAATTATCGGTAAAAAAGGAACAGGAGCTATTATTCTTTGAATTTCACCCTTCTCATCGTCAAACTGTAATGGGCGGGATCATAAAAATAATTTCGGACAGTCGAATCGCACTCCACCAATTGAGAAAAATAACGGGGAAAATCTAGAACTCCTTATTATCCATGAGTCTGTTTAAATATTACTAAAAAATCAAGTCTTCCTCTGTATTTAATTTTATTGTGTAAAAGGACATTCCAACAATATCTGGAATGACAGAGCTGGTTTCTTAGCGAATAAAGCCCCAGTAAGACCGCAAATTATGCTTACACTGCCATACCACCATTATGAATCGAAAACCATCTGAAAATAGAATCGATAAAAATATAGTAGGCAGAATGGGATTCCAGCAACACTAAGAGGCTGACTTATATTTTTTTCCCGAACGTAGCGTGTGATGATTACTGGGTTGAGTATATAATTAACGCGATTTTGATATACGCGTTAACGTCGAGAAATTTATTAATCGCATTAATCGAGGAGTAGGTAACCTGTGTATAGCGGAAACCTGTCTACTACCGAGGAGTTCTGCAGACAACTTCGACTGTAATTAGTTATTCGAAATGTAAAGTTTTGTTTTCTTAATTAATTATAACATCACAAAATTGTATCGCGATGTCGTCGCAACGCCATTTTGCAATTATTAAGTAATAATATTTTTTGTTTATTTAATTTAAAGTATATGCTTAACACCTCAAATTAGTAGTACAACCTATTTATCCTTTAACAAAAGAATAATGCCTGTCATCTATCTAACACCTGTCAGGGAGAAATTTTTGCATTGTAGAACGTCACTTCCGGTTAGTATCGAACTTACTTGTATAGTCCATCTGACCCGTCTGTTTTCGGTTATCGAAACTAAGAACGGGCAGTCAATCAGACGAAAATGAGAATTTATAAATGTTCAATTGTTTCGAATTGCATCCCAATAGAAAATATGTAATGTAAATGCTGTGTAATACAACACAAGTAACTTATTGAATTTATTTTTAATATATGATCATTTACTTATTTATTAAGTACCTTAAACCTGTTTTGTTTAATTTCAGAAACCAAGATTAATTTTTAAAATATATAAATGTATTTAACACATTAATTAAATAAGTACAGTACTTCCCCCCGAGTGGCAGTATTGAAGACTCTCTTGATGAATTAAATAAGATATTGATGGTTTTCCGAGGGAAAAATTATATAATAGGTATGGACGCGAATTCAAATTCTCAATTGTGGGGTTCTCCACTAACAGATTTAAGGGGTAAAAAATTAATGACAGTAATATCGAAGTGGAACTGTTATGTAGTTAATAATGAAAATAAGATTTCCACATTTAGGCCATCTAGAAGTGAATCCCTTGTTAACGTTCTGTTGGTATCTAATAGTTTAAAGGATAGAATATTAGATTGTGTAGTGACATATGAACACACTACGTGTGATCATGCTTTAATACATTATAGTATTGGCTTTAAGTATAGTAGAAAGTATTTATAATAATTAATGACATATTTTAATTTTCTCTTGAAACAAACTAAGGTATGGTGTATTCAAATTCAATCTCTAATGCATAGAGCAATGATGCAGATGCAAGAATTTGTTGATTGTACTTTAAAAGCAGATGCTCCCATTATTGCACGATTATATCTTTTTTATTGTACCCAAATTCCTCCATACTGAATGATGGGAAAAGAATTAGCTGATATATTTTTATCTTTAGGAGTTAATCAAAGTGCTCTTGAAATATTTTTACGTTTAGAATTGTAGGAAAATGTAGTTTAATGTTACAAACGACTGCAACGACGACACAGAGCTGAAACACTAATATGTCATCTTTTAGAAACAGAAGAAACTCTCCTTCTGTGGTGTTTACTTGGTAATGCTACCGATGATGAATCTTGTTATTTAAAAGCATGAGAATTATCTTCCCATAGAAATTCAAGAGCTCAACAGTCTTTGGGAAATTTATATTTTCAAAGAAAACAGTACAAAGAATGCATTTTATATTTTCAGAAGTCATTAGAACTTAATCATCTTCAATTGGAAGTATGGTTTTCTCTGGCATATGCAGCTACCAAAACTGAAGAATACGAATTAGCAGCAAAATCGTATCTCACAGTTGTGGGATTAGGTAATGACAATTTTGAAGCTTGGAATAATTTGTCAAATGCGTATATTAAAATGAAACAGAAAGAAAGAGCATGGAAGACTCTTCAAGAAGCTTTAAAATGTAATTATGAATATTGGAGAATATGGGAAAATTATTTGTTGGTGTACATTGACATTGGTGCATTTGAAGATGTGATTAAAGCATGGCATCGATTGATTGATATTAAAGGAAAGCATATGGATGAAGAGGTTCTTTCTATTTTAATTAACGCTATTCTTGAAGATGTGCCTGATATCTATGGACATCCAGCATCAAAGTTAAGAAAATATGCATTAACACTTCTTGGAAGAATAACATCTAAAGTAACAAATAATTAAAAAGCGTGGCAATTGTATGCAAAATTATGCCTAAATCCATAAGGAGATAACAAACAAGAAACAATGGAACGTGCCCTACAATATTTACAAAAGGCTTATTGTTCTGCTATTCAAAAACGAAACTGGCAAAAAATCCATCTTCTTGCAAAGAAGTACTCTCTCATGCCAAAGAATTAACAGAAGCCTATTTACACTTCAACAATCTTGCTCTAATGAAAATTTAACTAAACAATTATTGTCTTCAGCTTCTCTGATGATAAAAAGTCTTCAAGCAGCTGCATCATAAGAAGTAGAATATTGTCCATTTGAGAAATGTAATAAAAAAACAACATTGTTGTCTTTTTTGAATGAATATTTTTCAAAAGATAATTCAAAACTGTTATAAATATTGTATAAAATTATTAATTTTTAGTCTCTAAAGAAACAATAAAATTTGATGAAACAAAAATAGTGACGATCGATATTCATGGTAAAGTGAATCTATGAAAGAAGATGACGGTGATGATAGAGTAAGATAATATTTTTTGATTTTTTTTTTTTACTTTATTCTACGTTCTTCGCTAAACTTTTTGAATAATGTTTTGGTATTTTAAGATTTTCGTGTCTAAAATAATTTTATACATTTTAAATCATTGGCCTTAGAAACTTTATATTAAATTTTTTCAAAAATTTATTATAATTTTATAATAT